GTGAAACATGTATAATTCCTGTGTAGTCTACTCTCTCTCTCTCTCTCTCTCTCTCTCTCTCCATCTGTGTGCCCCCCTCTCTTTCTATGTCTTTCTCTCTCTCTCTTTGTCTATCTCTATCGGTCTGTCCGTCTCTGTCTGTCTGTCTTTCTCTCCATCTCTGCCCCCCCCCCATTTCTCTCTGTATCTCTCTCTGACTTTCTCTGTCTGTCCCTCTCTCTCACTCTGTGTGCCCCCCCCCCTCTCTGTGTCTCTCTCTCTGTCTTTCTCTCTCTCTCTCTATCTCTCTCTCTCTCTCTCTCTCTCAACCCCTTCAGATTCTCGAGAAGAATGTACACACACATATACACAAACAGTGGTCTACGAGAAAAATCTTGAATGGTAAAGGTGGGGAAGGGGTGGGGGTGATATGTCAAAATTCACTTTAACCCAATTGAACTAGAAAAAACAAACAAAGACAGATTTTATGAAAGTAAGTAAACATACACGTAAATGGTATAATGTATATGCTTTATTATAAAAGCTCCGCTACAGATGAGTAAAGTAAATACATAAAGAAAGTATATTACTCCTCTTTTCTTTTCATAATACAGCAATACATTAATCCTGGTTTCATGAAAATTACATCTAGCGCTACTTTTCTAAAATCGTCTCGAGATCCTATTGATGGTAACAGTTGCACACTGCGTAAATTTGAAATCAGATGAAGTCTTATTTTGTCTGAAAAAATTGCTTGGAAACCCTGAAGCACCATGTCTTAACATAACATTAATTTACGGAGCAGAAACTGCAAAATACGACATTGGCATAAAAGTGTCTATATTCTCTTTTTTTTTTCTTTTTTTTTCTCACCTGACACTCTCATACTATTTTCCTTGAAAATAGTACAATGTATCTAGTAATCTATTGATGTACACGATCTGAAATTATTTCTCTCAATAGAACATCTAATATCACCATATTTTTCAAAGGCAATTAGGTTTCGTTTTTATCAATGGCCCATGTTTTTCCCCCCCAATGATTCTAAAGAATCCATAAACCTCCTCATTCTTACTTCTCATATTTTCTTCACAAACGATAGAAATTCTTGCAACTGTTTTCACACATAGGAATGCCATATTATATCACATAAACCTTCAGAACAAATAAAATAAAATCTCAAGTTTAGTAATACATACTTTTTTAGCCGAATTTCCCTCTCCATTTAAAAGGTTCATCATATTATACAGTGATAACAAAAATATATCACAATGAATTTAATTGAAAATAAAAGAAGAATCTCAGGTTCATTGATATTAGAACATCCTTTTCTGCTTTTTTTTTGCGTATCGGTTCATAAAATATAACCATATAAACAGTGACCATAAAGCAAGTACTTCACTTGAGGCATTGAGAGCACACACTGGCAATGATAAACAAATAACTCCATTTTTCAATAATTCACAAAAATGAGTTCACCCACGTCCATACATTAGACTTTGTGTCATTTGGTATATATATATATATAAAATATTATATAATATATATATATATATATATATATATATACACACACACACGGTACACACCATACAGTCTTTTGAAGCTTTTACTAAAGCTGTCTTTGAGCAATTAATTGAATTACTGAAAATCTTTGGTGCAGTGTAGGGATTCAACAACCTTTTCAACAGTGTCTGGAAGCTTTTTCATGAGGCAGGACTTCTGAGTTGATCTTCCATCTCCGATACAACCGAACCACGTCGGTACATAACCGAGTGAAAAAAAAACTTCAAGAGCAAAACACATGTAAGTATAAGATCCTCGGAAGATTGTGAGAAATGAGATTCAAACTAAGGCCATCCACAATTTATTTCAAAATAACTTGAACTTTTCTGAGTATCTAACCAATCATTCTCTACCCTTCACTGAATACGGTTCATATTAATCATATCCAAGTAAAAAATTCTGTTGATATTACCGACACAGTATGGTTCATTGCGAAAACTTATAAGCTATTCAACCACCATCTCATTGCAGCTACTGTATAGGTAGAACAAAAATCTATATTATTATATATCATAAGGAGAAATGAATCATCTAAAATAAACAGCAGGTGTTTTACGCCCTCATAGGCACGATTTTGATAACTTATGAGGGGGGCTTCCAACTCAAGCTGAGAGGAATACAATATCGCAGCAGAAAACCTGAGATACTTGATAAAAATGTCCTTTCCATCTGGGAATTGAACTTGGGTTTCCTGTATGCGCAAACAAAATGCCTAACCACTACACCACAGACGCCGGTAACAGTACAAATCTGTAGGTAAAACATAAATCTATGCAAATATCATAATATATATCACAAGAGAAAATGAATATGGAAAACTGGGAAATTAACACAATAGGTAAGTAAGGCACCGATTGAAGATCTTTTCAAAACAATATCACAGCACACGCTGGCTGAGTTCACTGAGGACTTTTGTGCAGAAAGGCATCTCAAAGTTATAGTAAAGGCAACAACAGTCGTTAAGTACAACGAAAAAACAAGATAGACAGACAAAAAGAACACAAAAAAGAAAAGAGGTAGAAGGTACGAGAGGAACCCTCCAACCACCCACAAGAGGTATCTGTATTTTTTTAAACAAGAGATCCATAAGAAATTATTGAAAATCTAAAAATATCGTGGCATCGGTAGTCTAGTGGTTACACTATTAGGCTCACAACCAAAAGGTCGGGCATTCGAACCCCACAGGGCGCCTGACACTGTGTCCTTGGGAGAGGCACATTATGCAAATTCTCCACACTTCATTCAGGTGGGAATAGGAACCTGACTATAGACAGCGAAAGATCTTACAAGTTTGTTAGTGTCAGAGCGCTTAATCAGCTGCTTGGACTGTACGCTTCTCAGGAAGCAGGAGAATATTTCTGGGTGTTCTATAGTCTGCTGCTGGGGTAATGATATAAATTGTTAAATGCAGAGAGCTTACTCGCTGTTGAGCGGGGATATGCGCTATACAAAAGCTATTTATTTATTTATTATTATTATTGTTATTATTATCATCATCATTATCATTACTATTATTATTATGATTATTAGCCTACTACTACTACTACTATTATTGTTATCATAATTATTATTATCATTATCATCATTATCATTATTATTATTATTGTTATTAAGATTCTCATTATTATCAATATTATTATCATTAGACCTATCATTATCATTATTATCAAAATTGTGTTATACTATTACACGAAAGAATACAACTTTGCAGACCTGCATCAGACATCACCCACTTCTACTGCCTATAAATCCAAGAACAGCATGAAGGAAGGAAAGAGTGACTAGAATCATTTCAAATGCATAAATCAAAACTATAGATCCAAGTGTACACGGCAAGCAAGTATAGATCTATGATACATGTATGATATATTATATAAATTATACATTTGTAAAAAAGGAATGTTCATTCACAAATCTTAACTAAATTGGAATAAAAACAGTAATAATCCACCAACTTAGCAAAGACTTGAGTGTGCTGTATGCATGTATTTAAGCGTGTGTTATGTGCGTGAGTGTGTGTGTGTGTTGAACACACATGTGCATGTGCAAGCTAAAGTGAATATTTGTGCTTGTGAGCCTGCATATGACATATTTGCATGTCTTCCTGATCAACCCCTGAATTTTTCAGAAAAATACAAGTCTTCAATTAGACATTCCTAGGAAATACAAACATGCAATAAAATACAATAAAAGTTTCCTGGATACAATCAATTCTGGGGAAAACATTTTCAAAATCTGCACAGAAAAACAAAACATTCAACTGGCACGTCTTGTGTAGCATAGAAATACAGAAATATTGATATACGTAAAATAAAAGTTGCTGAGATAGAATGCTTTGTATTTGTAAATGTTTTACACCCCCATCAACACAATTTAGATAATTTAAAAGGCAGGCTGTTTGGACCCTGCTTGTTAGGGCTAACACAGGGCAGAGAGGGATATAAAGTCCCAGAAGATGTACGGAGATACTGGATTGTTAAAAAAAACACACAAAAAAACCCTTCCCCGACATAGGAATCAAACCCACATCTTCAGCATGTAATGGCAAAGAAACGAATCAATACACCACAGGCACTGGTGGAGTCTATAACTCCCAAGAGGAAGGCAAAATCCAACACATGGCAAGTATGACAACGTTTGTGAGGCAGCGTGGTGGAATCAGGCTCTCATCAATTTTTGGGCATGTAGAGTTATTGGTATTATCTTAAAGCTTGTTCACTTGTCTTTATTTGGATGAAAAAAATATCCATTTATCTTGAATACAAGTCGAGATATTTGCGATTGAAGGAGGTAGGGGTCACCTGTTTTCAGAGATAAAATTGTGAGAAAATGGCTGCTAAAGATTTGTTTATTTCCTTAGCTTCAGAGTCCGTGGTAACTGAAAATTTACATTTTTTTGTGCCTTTAATCAACGTTTTTCAGAAAAATCCACACAAAAATGAGTTCTTCAATGGGCATGAAAGATGTTGAGCCAAAAAACAAAAATTGGATAAAAATTCGCAAACCTGCGGAAAAATGCAAGTTTCTTCACTTTGATTATTTTGACGAGAGCCTGATTCCACCACACTGCCTCACATTTAGGCTACTGTTCAACTGAAACAGATTAGTTCGTGGTAGTAAAAGTTTCATGGCTTTAGCAACACAAATAGGCCACACAAGTGCCATAAGAATAGAGGTGTTACTAGAGAGTAACATACAAGGAGGAGAGATAAGGATGACAGATGTTTCAAAGAGGTTTTTAATTTTTTTGTAAAAATAGAAGGGGGGTGGGTGGGTGAGTCACTATTTACTTTTATTCATAACCAGTGAACTTTTACATCGAAAAAATATACATAAAACAACAGAGAACTGATTTTTCATCTCAAAAACTTAAAGCAAGGCTGTTGAAACAGTATAGGGGTGTATAGAACTCTATATTTTGATTTCATTCGAGGAAACCAAAAAAAAAAAAAGAATTTACATTCAAAATTAATTGTAAAAAACACAATATATAACTTTTCAAAGCTCAGCTTAAAACTCTTTGAGCTGTTATTTTTGGGTTACTTTTAAATCATTCCACAAAACACATTCAAAATTGCTGTTTAACGGATAGTCAGTTGGACCTTAATTTCACAAATCGAGGCTTCATACAGATAACATTTTTCAAATTGGTATATAATTTATGCATTTCCTTAATAAGAGTATATGACTTTGATTTTTCAGAGCATCAAATGAATCAAATTACCCTTTATCTAAAGCTTAGATTTTTTAACAATTTATCATTGCTGATCAGAAAAATTTGAATAGGATTAGGTACAATGTCTGAGAACATTACGGATAACTAATCAAATAATCATTTATGAAAAGCTCTAGTTTCTTAAAGTACTTAATTCTAAGTTATCGAACCATTTGCGAATAGGCACATCGTCTTTGAAAAGACAAAAAAATTGCGTAAATATGCACACAGCATTAAAAATACTTAAAGTACTTGGTACAGATAATAATTAATTGTATATAAGTGAAACAATATGACTACAAAAAATACTAGATAAGTAATTTGTATTAATTACTTCCTTCATTTTGACACAGTATTAAGGGGAATGTGGAGACGAATCCATCCTCATCATTTAATGATGGACATCTACAAAAACCTATTCCTTGATGAGGAATCTGTGACCAGGTCTGGCTTCCAGTCTGATCTGATGGCTTCACGCATCTCCTCAGCATACAAGTCCAGCCTCTGAGTCATCTGGAAGAAAAAAACCCAGACAGTTTGATAACATTTGGTCCCGTTTTGGTTTGTTTATTTGTTAAAGTATTGAGAAACTCGGCAAGTCAACACAAAAATAATTTTCTTAAATTAAGCACAAATCTATAAATTTTCCTAAAAGTGCTTACATTTATTTTGTCACTATACTAGAGTTCAGATTGGTGTTCACTGCCATGCTCAATTTTAAGGAAAATTTTTTTTTGCTCAATTTCTTAAACTCCCTATCAATTTATTCTGTTTTTGAAAGTTTATGTGAATAATGTTTTTGGGAAGAAATGGG